CTCCTTGTCGTCACCGTCGTCCTCCTCCTCCTCCTTCTCCTCCTTTCCTCCTCCCCCTCCTCCTCCTTTCCTCCCCCTCCTACTCTCCGGACGTGATTGTTCACGATGTCCCAGTTTTTTCGTCGCCGTCGGATCTCAGGGTCTTTGTCATCCTTCCCTTCTGTTTCAGGTTCTGGTTACCAGGTGATTGACGGCACCCAATCGGGACACGTGCCGATTTTAAGGCTATACTGTGTTACGTGCTGTGCGTCGCGCTGCTGTCGATGGTGAATCCTTAATTGCCACCGTTGTGCACTGGAGAAAATACACACAGAGGTTCACCTCGCCGACCTGAGCGTGGTGGTGAGCGACCTACTGCTGGATAGGCTGAGGCCTGGGGCAACGATAAGGGGATAGGCATAGATGGGGAGGCATCGGCCTCGAATGGTGGACTCATATATATATATATATGTATATATATGTGTATATATATATATATACAAGACTGCAGTGGCGCTTCGCGCCATGCACCTTGGTCCTTGAAGTTTGGTATGCAGGCGGACTAGCGGGAAGGTCAAGCCGACAAATTAGCGACAACTGATTCCTTTTCCGGCATCGCCGCTATAATGATGTTATTTGGTTTCCTTCCTCCATGCTTCTTATTCCTCATTTTCGCCATGCCCTGCGCATTCTCCCCATCCACCTCAGCTCTTTTTGCGGAGGCTCCTCCTTGGAGAGCCTCTGGGGGCCTCATGGGCGTGTTTGGGATGCTTTCTTAAGGCCTTCTGGAGGCCTCCTGGGCGTGTTCTGGGGGTTTCTGAGGGTTTGTCGGGCCACCCTACCTCCAACCGTGGTCTCCTTGAACGACCGGGTCACGATTTGGAATGCTTCGGAGGGTGTCTTAGGGCCATCTTGGGCCGCCATGGGGCTCCCGTAGGGCCATCTTGGACCCCTGTTGTGCCGTTTTGGGGCTCTCTTGGACTGCCTGGAAGCCCTTTCGGATGGTTGTGGGGCGATTTTGGAGCGTCCTAGGCGGCTTCGGACGCCCAGAAGGCCGGCGTCTTGGAGCGTCGGGAAGCCGAAAAGCGGAGAACCCCCAGATAAGCCATAAACCAACAAAATCAAGGATTTTCGCCTCTTGGGGCCTTCTTGGGAGTGCTCTTGGAGGCCTCTTGGGACGTTTCGGGACGATCTTGGGGGGTATGACGGCTTCTTGGGGGTCGTCGTCGACCGTATTGGGGCTCTCTGGGTTCGTTTCGGGAGCGCGCCACGTCCTGCGAGGCCCTGGGGGCCGCTTCGAGGCCCTTCCGGAGGGTCCCTAAGCCCCGGATCCCGGGAGTCCGTTTTTTTTTTTTTTTTTGGGGGGGGGGTGATGGGTTTTCCCCCCGCCCGGGCTTGTAAAAATATAGACAGAGGAATACACACATACACACACATATATATATATATATATATATACACACAGATATGTTTATCGAAAATGCATCCACGATGCATCGTTGATTTCAGGGCGATGTATCGACGATGTGTAGAAGATTCATGAGGCGGTCTGCATCCACGACGCATCGACGGTACACGGGCGATGTATCGGCCATTCGTGATCGATGCGTCCCTCTTTCCCCCCCAGACATCTGACGTCTCGATTGTTTCGAGGCACGGGCCCCCGACCTCTCGACCATTTCCCCCGGACCCGTTTTTCATCCCGAGTCGCTTTCTTTATGATCCCGAGGCCCAGGAAGGGCCGCGAGAGGCCGAGAAGTATGAAAATCCCCCGCACCTGAAATCCAACAGCGTGAACACTTGAAACATAGTGAAAAATCATGCCCTGAGCCCCGGACCCCATCTTCCTCATCGATCCGTGAGGGTCCCGGGTCCAGAAATCGGGCGAAATCGCCCAGCTCGCCAACATTGAGACGCCAGGAGCTGAGGAAAAACCCTTTGCCGTTATGTTTCCGAAACGCCCGATGTCTGGGGTCACCGGAAGTCGCGATCGACCCATTCCCCGGGACCAGCTTTGCATCCTGACCAGTTCTTTGATGGTCCCGGGGCCCGGCGAGGGCCCCAGGAGGCAGAACATTGCCAAATGCTTCCCGCCGTGTTTTTCGTAGCGACGCGATCCTGCCTGGGCCTCCTGTCCCGATCTTTTCGAGACGCCCGACGCCTGGGCCTTTCGATGCCCCTCCATGAGGTCGGCGTCACACCAACATACTGATACTACCTGCGCGCCGCCCCCCCCAGGGGCGACGTGCGCGCCGAGAAACCTTGCAGTACAGGCTCCGTGCCGGGCGCTTTCTGGCCGCACCGCTCGGGAGACGATGCCCTAGCAGGACGCCTGTACTACATGACTGCGTCGGACGCACGCCTCTGAGCAGGACCTTTGTGGGCCCCGGAAACGGCAGGGCCGTTTTTTCACCGTTTCCAAAAAAATGTCCCTTGAAAATGGAAACGGCAAAAAAACGGCGACCGGAAACGGCAAAAGAACGGCTCCAGGATTGGAAGCGGAGCCGGAACCGGTCAAAAAACGGCGACGGAACCGGTAAAAAAGCGGCGTCGGAGCGGGCAAAAAAGCGGCAGAACGGAGCCGGTAACAAAAGCGGCCCTGTCGTTTCCAGGGCCCCCTAAGAGCAGGGCGCATACCCCCTACATCCGCCGATCTGCGTTTTCCATCCGCGGCCCGAGAGAGGTCCCGACCCCTTCCCCAGGGGTGGCTCTTCGTCCCGGATCAATGTTCCCAGATCCCCTCGAGTCATGAAAAAATCACGACGGGAGGTTTTTCATTATTTTCGGCCTTTGGGGGCCCTTACCGGCCCTCGGGACCGTCAAAAAACGACTCAGGACGAAAAACCGGTCCCGGGGAATGGGTCGAGACCCTGGGGGTGTCGACGTCATGAAAAAATCATGACGTCGGGGGTCTGGGTTTGATGGCCCCCGAGCCCGATAACGGGCCTTGGATGCCGAATTCCAAGAAGTGCCGCCCGATTGAAAAAGCCAGTTCCTCAGATTTTTGGGTCAGTCGACCCGCAGGGTAAGGATGGGCACCCCTCCCAAGGGTGCCCTAGCATCCTCGCCTCCTCGGTGCATCTTGACCACTTTCGTTGGCCGCGCGCCCCGCTCAAAAAGTTTCGAAGTAGGCGTCCAAGGCCCTTGAATTCTTATCTCGGGGTGACCGAAAAGGGGGTCTACCTGAAAGGGGGTGGTGCAATAGATTTTGGGGCAAGTGTACTGCAAATCTACTGCGCTGGAAAATTGTATTGCATTGTATTGCAAGTAATGCATTGCACGCGAAAATGCAGCAATACACTTGCGCCCCGAAATGTACTGCACGCCCCAAGTCTGATGCAACCCCACAACTCCATTGCACCACCCCCTTGTCGCTGGACCCCTTTGGGGCCAACCCGATCATCGTTCATCCTTCTGATATGGGCCGACTGCAGTCAGTACCCCTCAGTGAGGGCCCTCGCGGGCCCTCAGGGGGGGCAGGGCGCGAGGGGGAGGGGGAGGAGGAGGAGGAGGAAGAGGACGAGGAGGAGGAGGAGGAGGAGGAGGAGGAGGAGGAGGAGCATGAGGAGGAGGAGGAGGAGGCGGACCCCAACTGTACGTCCTTGTGCCCCTCCGTAAGGGCCCTCGCGGGCCTCGCCCGGCCGGGCGGGTCCCCAGAGGGCGCCGGCGGCGAGGGCGGGGAGGCTGGCACCGTCGGCGCCGTCGGCACCCGCGCCGCGCGGAGCGAGGACCGAGCGGCGCGGAGGATCGGGTGGCGCCAATAGGGTGTCCCTGGCCCTAGCCCTCCCTCCATCCCTCCCTCCCTCCTCCTCCTCCTATTCCTCCTCTTCCTTCCTCCTTCTACTCCTCCTCCTCCTCCTCCTCCTCCTCCTCCTGCTCCTCCTCCTTCGCCTGCTTCAAGCAGTGGCGAAGCGCCCTGGCTCGCCTACAGCCCTATCAAACAATGTTCTAAGAACGTTTTGTGGTTTCCACGACATGGTCTTAGAACAATTCTGGCGGAGTCTGTCTTGTTTGAACACATCGGGCTTATGTTCTAAGAAAATGGTCTTTGTTCTTAGAACATGTCTGGGTTCTAAGAACATTCTGTGGTAGGACTATAGGAAAGCCGGGACGGTCGGTCCCTGCTCAACTGCTGCTCCTCCTCGTCCTCCTTCTCCGCCTGCTGCTGCTGCTGCTGCTGCTCCTCCTCCTCCTCCTCCTCCTCCTCCTGCTCCTCCTCCTGCTCCTCCTCCTCCTCCGCCCCCTCCTCCTCCGCCTGGCGGTGCGGGGGAGAAAGGTGATCCTGGCCCAAGGAGCCTCAACTTTCTGCTCCATCTTAGAGCCCCTGGGGCCCTCTGGGCCTCGTGAGGGGTGCTCTGGAGGCCGGGAGGGTCTCCCTGGAGATCCTGGGGGCACCTTGGGCCAGGGTTTTCTCTTTAGCGACACCGGCAGGAGCCTTGCGGCCGGGCACAAGGTCTTCCAGAGGCTTCCGGGCGTCTGAACTCCGAAGCCCTGAGATCTTGGAGTCGCACTTTTTGTTTCGCATCGGGCGTTTTCGCTTGGTCTCGCGCCAAGGGACCCTCACAGATCGATCCGGCTCGAACATTTGCGCAGGAAAACGGGGTCTAGGGCTCAGGCCGTGATTTTTCATGATGAGAATTTTGCGTGCCGTAAACATCGCGACGGTAGGGTGGCCGTTTCCGGCCTCTGGGGGCCCTCGCTAGGCCCCGGGACCGTCGGAAGTCGACTCGGGATGAAAAACTGGCACTGGGTCCAGGGACCCCGTATGTTTAGGTCGGGCATGTCCCCCCATAGGCGAAATATTCAAAGCAAAATATGAACATGTGCAAGCATAGTCCTAAAAACGTCCCCAGACAATGGTTTGCCTATTTTTGAATATTCCCCCTGTAGAGGGACAGGCCCGACTTGACTGTATGTCAATATTGTTGAACCGATCCCTGTCCCATCCCCATCCCGATTCACACCATCCCACCACCCCAGTCTGGAGACATGCCCTCTCGAAGTCCGAAGGAGAAGAAGCCCGTATCCCCATCTAGGGTGAAGTCGGGCCTGCTCCTCTACAGGAGGAGAATTCCCAAATCGTCAGACTATCGTATGGAGACGGTTTGTTTGCTAATTGTTTGGCTATTTGGGGGTATCTTGGACTATCTAGAATTTCTCGTCCAGAATCCGGCTGCAGGGGGACACGCCCGACCTAAATCTAGGGGGGTAAATCGGTTAGTGGGGCCCAGGCCACGCCCGTGGGAATAGGGATCGGTGAAACGATGCTCCTCAACCTGTTTCAGAGGCCGCAGGGCTGCCTGAACAGGGGCGTGCCCTCAGGCTCCAGGCGCTGCAGGTTGTTCGCAACGACCGTTTTCTGCCCGTTTCGTGGCCTGGGGCTCTCGCGGGGCAGGTCGACCAGGGTCGAAAGGCTGGCCCAGGCCTCCTCGAGTCGGGAATGGCGCAGGAAGGTGGAGTCGGGGGCTCCGTTGGTGATGTTCTGAGATGCCGCAGTTTTTTGGGGGTGCAGCGTCGGATCTGATGGCTGATGACCCAGGACAGCGGCGCACCCAAGAGAGAAGTGCAGCCGTGGGTCGAGGCCTTCTCGTTGTTTTTATCCGGGTGGGATGTTCAAGGTCCTGGTCCACAGTATTATGGTGTTCGAGTGGGGGATCGACTACATAATTTAGTTACCCCAGAATTTATTTTCTCTCCGGGCCCACGAGGCACATGCGTCGAATAGTCAGTGGATCAACAGAGCACTGTAGGCATTTTTCGCAGATTCGACGGGAGAACACTTTCGGGATCTCCTACTCGGGTTTCAGGGGCCCCCGAAGGCTGAGCAGGGAGGCTCGCGCCGCCAAGCTCGCGGCGTCCTACTCCACGGTGCCCTCCTCGCACTCGCGGTCCGATGGCGACACAGCCGAAGCTGGGACGGCCCCCGCGCGCAGCGGCAGTCAGAGGATGAACATATACCGATACCGAGGTCCGTCCTTGAGGCCCCTGGTCGACACGGCCGGATCATCCTCGAAGTCCTGGCCAGAACGCTCCCCCGGAGAGGTCCGGGGAGCAGCGGCATCGGTGCCTTGCTGTTTCCCCAGGCAGCGGGGCCCTGCGCAAGATGTCGCTCTCCCCACCGGTCTCCGCGCGCTCCCCGGGCGGCGCGGACTACCCCCTGCTCCCCCAGCGCAGCTCGAGCGGGCTCTGCCTGGGCAGCGCGGACTACGCCCTGAACCCTCTGACCCCCTCGGGCGGGCTGTCTCTGGTGCCCGAGCGCAGCTCGAGCGGGCTCGTGACCTCCGCGAGCTTCGCCTCCGACGAGCCGCAGACGACGCCGCGCGGGCCCCCGCAGGACCGCGGCGGCGTCGGGGAGGTCAAGAGGATATACCCTGGGAACGGCGTCAACGACCAGAAGAGGTTCAACCACTGGCTGTACCACAGCGTGGAGCGGCTGGTGGGCCTACACCGTGACGTCGTCATGTGCTACCACGTCGGCGCCGTCCACGTCATCAGCGTGTCCGAGTACTCGGAGTCCAGCCTGTGCGCGCAGCAGGCGCGCATCCGCCCGTTCACTCTCCGCGAGAGAGGGGAGGGCCACGGAGACGTGCTCTGCGGCTTCGACCCCAGGAGGTTCAGCTGGGAGTTCAACGGCTTCGCCGAGGGATGTTGGAGGGACGCCAACAATACACCACCTGCAGCCCTGGCCAGGCCCTGCCTGGGCCCTGGACCAGTGTATGGCCCTCCAGGCCTGGGCCAGGAGGGCTTACCCACCAGTCCAGGGCCCAGGATGGGCCTGGCCTTAGGTCGGGTATGTCCCCCCTACAGGCGGTGCTGGAGGAAAAATTAGTCCAGGAGTGTTCAAACACTGCCAAGCAACTATTCCAAACAAAAACCGTTCCCATATTATGTTGGATTATTTTCGGATCGTCCTCCTGTAGAGGGACATGCCCGACCTAAGCCTGGCCAGGGCTGCTGGTGGTGTCTTGCCTGGAGCTCTCCCAGGATGCGGCGCTGGCCTCGCCGACGAGGACGGCGCCCGCTCGAGCACCAGCTCTGCGGGGCGCCACATCCGCGGGGGGGCGAAGCGGGGGCACTGGCTCCCTGGGCGGCCCGGCGGCCTCGGATGATTCGGTGGGGCGCCTCGGCGACAGGTCGGCGCTGGCGACACCGCCGCGCCCCTGGAATTCAGTCGGACATGTCCCTCTGCAGGAGAAAAGTCCGAACACAGTCAGAAATCATAGTCTGGGGGCCGTTTTTCTGTTATGTTTGATCATTCTGGAGCATGTTTGGGCTATTTTTCAATTTCCCCCTGAAAATCCACCTGTAGGGGGACGTGCCCGACCTGATCCTGGGCTCCCAAACGCCCCAGGCTGGCGATGCCCGGGCGACGGTCTTGCGGGAAGCGCGTCCTGAGGTCCTTCCCTGCTTTCGGGCGCTCGGGGCCCCCCCCGAGCCCGAGGGCACTGGCGACGCTGGGGGCGGAGCACATCGGGCTCCACATCACCATCTGCTCGGGCACCATCTGGGAAGCCGGAGGAGGAGGAGGAGGAGGAGGAGGAGGAGGAGGAGGAGGGGGAGGAGGAGGAGGAAGTGGAGGAGGAGGAAGTGGAGGAGGAGGAGGGGAGGAAGAGTAGGAGGAGGAGGAGGAGGAGGAGGAGGAGGAGGAGGAGGAGGAGGGGGAGGATGGGGGAGGGGAGGAGGAGGAGGAGGGGGAGGAGGGGGAGGGGGAGGAGGAGGGCGGTCGTCCGACCACGACCCGGGGACTTCGAGGTCGATGTCGCTTCGATGGTTGTGGCCAGGAATGAAAACCAAAAAGAATCCACGCGAAATGAGCTTCGTTTTTCGCTGGCCGCTTCGGGCAGAAATCCACGCAGAAATCCGCTGCAGGATGTCTGCAAGCTAGGCCGGTGCAATAATAGATATGCTGGTGAACGTTGTGCCTGGAGAGAATCACGCGCGGATGTCTGGGGCCCTGGGCCGAGACGCCGTGGACACGGGGTGCTTCTTCGAAGATTTCCCGCGCGGAACGTATCCATGCGACCGCGTATCCGCGGGATCGCGCCCTGCAGTCCAGACAGCGAGGGCGTGCGTACAGTGGAGGCCCGACCACAAGAAACCTTCCACAAGCAGCCCAACCGTGAGACCCGAGGATGTCCCTTGACTTTTGGCGTGGGGGCGTCGCGCTTTCCATCGCGAAGCCCAAGAAGCCCAGGGCACCCTGGAGGCAAGCAGGGTGTTTCTTGGCATGGGCCTCTCCACTGTATGCGCTCGCCGCTCGTGAGGTGTGAGGGCCTTCGTGTCGCCCCCCCTCGTCAGCTCGGCGTCCGGGACCCACCAGCAGGGCCTGATGCACGCGGTCAGCGCCGTGTCGCTGCGGCTGCTCCCGGCGACGGCCGCCGCCTCCGCGTGGGCCCGGCCTGCCTCGCCCGTTGGGCGCCGCTGCGACGCCGGCTTCTACTCGCACCTGCGGCTGGGCTGCGCGAGGTCCCAGACTCGGCGGCGACCGAGGGGGGGAAGTGAGCAGGAGAAGGCCTCTTCAGAAGGCGGCGGGACTTCTCAGAAGCCGCCGCGCCTTCCGAGGAGTTTTCTCTGCCTTCGGGGAAGGCTTCAGAACCTTTTCAGAAGGCCTTGGGACTTCCGAGCCTGCTGAGAAGGCCCGCCCATTCTCACTTCCCCCTTCGCTCGCCGCCTACACATTCTCGCGGCGTGGACCAAGAAATCGCGGCGGAAGGTTTTCGGGAGGGCTCGGCCTCCGGGGGGCCAGGCCCTGGCCGGGCCCCGGACTGTCAGGACACACCTCTGGGCGCAAAACCGGCCCTTGGGGAAAGGGTCGGGACTTCCAGGAAATCCGCATTGAGAAAATAAACCCCGTGCGGGCTATAATAAAGGTGCCCCCCCTGAAACCCCATCTATTTTTAAAATCCCCGCCCACAGGGATTCATCTGTTGGGAAGGAGCGGGGGCCGAACTTGATAATCACCTGGAAATTGCGGGGATCGAAGTTGCTATCACATCAGGCTGATTAGCAACAGCATCAAAAACGCTGAGCATGGCCGCGATGGTCTCGCCACACCATCTTCCGCAATCAGGAGCGTGTGGCAGGGCTGTGGGATTTCTCACCAGTTCAATTTGCCCACGTTACGACCGTGCGGCAAAGCCATGGGATTCTCATTTTCTTAGCCGTTCCCGAGTCAGGAACGTGTGGCAGGGCCATAGGGACCGATTGGGTTTTGATAGCGCGTGCGTTTTTCGAGCAGGAAGAGCATTGGAATTAATTAGTTAAGTGAACCATTTTTTGTCGCACCCCTCACACGGTTCGTGGCCCTTCCTCCTCCTCCTCCTCCTCCTCCTCCTCCTCCTCCTCCTCCTCCCCTTCCTCCTCCTCCTCCTCCTCCAGCCGCCGCCACGGCTTAAGCACATTGAAGGCGGCCATAGACCGACACAGTGTCCTTTCATAACATGACCTGTCAGGTCTGATGCCACACCATCGGCTGCTGGTGGCCATCATGGCCGCGGGAGCCTGCCTGCAGCTCAAATTGGAAAATGCTCACGGGAGATGGGGGGGACCCCAACGCCGCCTCAGCTGCTACCTCATGTATGGCGATGCGGACACTACAATCCCCTCTCTTCCTCCCGCCGCGACCGACAGGAAGACATCAACCTGGCGTGCGAGAACTTCGACTGCGTCACGCTGGTGGGCACCACTCAGCGTGCCACACTGCGGGTGCAACAACGCCGACTTGGACGACGATGGCAGGTGGAGGGCGGCTGGTGCCCTGGACAGTACACTAACAGTTCGGCAGGCATCACAATGACCTTCCGATGTAAGATCAAGCAGCGACATCTTCGACGTATCACTGTACCTGGTGCGGCCCTGGCTGGCCGTGGTCTTGCGGTACGCGTCGCCTCTTCCTTCTACGACTTCACCTTCATTGGAGTCTACTTCCCACCGCGAGTGAAGACAAAAGCAGAGGGCCCCAAATAGGATCGTACAGTACGTGGCCTCATTGATTGGATCGCGGAAGTCCTGGCCAAGACCCCGAGCAGAAGCGTCCCGATATTATGCACGGATCTGAATGATGGAATGGGAGTGGTACCTCCTCCTGCAAGTACGAACATTGAGACGGAGGCCATTAGTGAATACGGGGCGCGGACAGAGCACCTGGCTGGACAACTGTTACGCGAGTTACTGGAGAGCCATTATATGACAGCTCGCAGTGCGGATTATGGACAATCTACTTGGTATGGAACGAGTGGCGTGGAGACTCTCATTGATTACATGTGTGTACCCACGAGTTTAGTATGCAGCAGTATGGGCACCTTGGGCCACTTGTCGCGACAACTTCAGCTTATCGGCACCCGAGTTCGCCGAGACCATATGTTTTTACACCTCAAGTTTCAGCTGCCGACGTGGACGGCCGCAAACAAAGCGAAAGCAACACGCACGAGATGGGACCGAGACAAAATGCTGGAAGCCTTTCATGGCGATTCGATTCGAGATGATTTTATTCAAGCTGTGGAAGAGCGCCTCACCCAGGACGAGGACTTGATGCGAGACTTGAAGACCCGCACGCTCCCCGATGCGCTGTGGGCCCAGATTGAAGGCGTGATGATGGAGATTGGTGAAGAGTTTTTTACGGCTGAGCGAGTTGAATATGAAAGATATACCGCACTACAGGCACATCGTCGACATTTGCTACGCCAGCGCCAAGACCTACGAGTCGCACTGGGCCACACAGCACCAGCTGTTATTTCAATTGGTGAATCTCACATCAGATGCAGGCCAAATGCCATCGGGTTGCCCCCAACTGGCGATCAGAACGCGTCTGGGTGTAGACCTCAGGAGGTCGAAGGGGGCCCTGGGGAGGCGCGACGGGAGATGGTTCAGCGAGACCCTGAGGGTCCTGCCATCGGTGAACCAGGTTCGCCACGCCAACCTCCCTCGGGCCCCGCGTCTTGGGCTGCCTCTGATGAGGCCAGCGGTCCCTCGGCCCGTTCGGGAAATCCCACGTCTGTGGCGCTGGAGGGGGGATAGGAGGTGCTGACGCGGCCAGTGGCTTCGCGGGCCACGCCCACCCCTCCAGCGGTCCACCGCCACTTGCGGACGAGGCTCCACAAAACTTAGTGCCAGGCCACAGCGCAGCCGAGCTGACACCTCAGTCAGATGAAGAGCGACGAGTTTCTGAGGAATTGCGAGCCCTTTCACGCCACATGAAGCGAGGACGTATTCTGGACTGGAAGGCTTTTCAAGAGAAGACTATCATTGAGATGTGGGAAGCATGGAGGAAGCGCAAACTTTTTGATGTGTATCGTTTGGCCAGGCGAGCTGCAGGCAGCAAGTTTGGCACCAAGCGTCGACCTTATCTAGCAGCACAAGTCGCCCCGCCGTCGGAGAAGGAATGGCTGGACCAGCTTTCGCTACCCGGCTGTGAAGGAGGTACGCAGGCGACCCTGATCCCGTCTTGGATCAACTTTGCCAGAGCTCGAGTGGATGAAGACCTCGCACCTGATTCAACCAGCCCGTTAGACGAGCAGTTCAGAAAAAAAGCCAAGTCGGATGTTTGTAAACTCGAAAGATGGGCTCTGAGAGCTCCCAAGAGAAAGGCAGTCCCTAGTTGGGCCGCGCCTGTTGAGCTTTTGGCGATACTTCTGGTCCCACCCACGGTCGCCTCGCATCAGAATCGAGGGTTGGGGGCTACGGAGCCCGAGTTGGACGCGCCAGTTTTCCGATCCATTTTGGAAGATGCCTGTCTCAGAATTCGAACCAGTATGCGTGCACTTGTTTTTTGGCACTCTAGCATGGGGGTCTCTTGGGCAAAAAAAGCCGACGGGACTTCTTTTGGGGGAACGGCCTCGGGGCTTCGTACTATCCACCTCCTCCCTCCGCTCGGTAAGGGCTGGTACTCCACTCACTCTACGACCCCCGAGATGCCTCCCCAAGTGCTTGGTTTTTTTACCTCATAGATGCAAAGAGAATGCAATTGCCAACTCTCTGATCATGATGTGGCGTATCCGTCGCGCTGGCCGCTTAGGTTTGGTTCACCTTCACGACCTCACGAATGCCTTTGCGAGTGTGAAGTGGGCAGACATGCGCGCCGCTGCGGTGGAGCTGATGGAAGACGGCCTCGCAAGTCTTGGCTGCCAGCGATTCGAGGAAGCAGCAGTAACTCTGCAGTGCGAGGAGGGCCCCCGTTTTTTTCAAACCAGGCTGTGGAGGCATGATGGGGGATCCTTATATCGTACGCCAGTTTGTGCAGAGTTTCCAGACTGCCATCCAGGATTGGGGAAAACGTTTGGAGGCGGAGGGGTTGGTTACTTCGGAGTTGGTGGCTCAACGCCCTTTCCTGGATCGTGCAGTAGATGTGTCACTTAGTCTCTATGCTGATGATAGTTTGAAGTTTCTTCTGGGAGGGCCCCGCCAAGGGATTCAGGACCTTGCTCAGTCGAGCGAGCGAGCCAACGCCCTCCTGGATCTGGCTCTGGCCGAAATCGGCTGCAAGCAAAACATGAGTAAGCAGGAAATCATTCCAGTGCTTTCGGGGCCTGGGTCGGGGACCGACGCGCGTGAGCTTCGCATGAAGAGGGTTTCCCTTCCCGCTCCGCACTGCACGCACGCTCGCTATTTAGGGGGGCGGATTGGTGCTAACTGTAGCTATGCAGTAGAATTCACATACCGCAAGAAGGCGGTGGCGGCAGCTTGCTACTCGTTAGGAGCTTTCTGGTTTTTAAAGCACACCCCGTGGAGGGTGAAGCGCACACTTCTTATATGCTGTGTACAAACACTGCATTGCACTCTAACGAAGCCTACATCTGCTCTAAGCAACAGTATATAGAATTATATCATCTGGTAGCACGCTATGCTAGACGAGCGATGAGAGGAGCAGCCCATGAAATACGAGAGACCGAAACTGGACAGCAGCATCGTGCACTGAGCACAGCACAAGTACTGGAGCATTGGCGAATGGCACCCGCGAGTCTTGAGATGCGGGTGCGGCGCCTTCGGAGGTATCAGACCATGATCGCCCACCAGTGGAGAAATGGCCAGATTCTCACCTCCATGCTCGGACACTTCGCGTTCGAAGACACACCGACGCTGATTGATGGTGACTTGAAAAAAGATGCGAACCCGTGGGCGCTACAGCTTCGACAGGATATACAAGAGGGAGTAGAGGGGCTTGATGATGAGGGCGGTTATCTTGGGGTATGTGTGCGATCGGGGTGGGCACAGATATTCGCAGATGAGGAGGTGAAGGAGGAGTTTCTTAATCAAGATTTTACTGCATTGCGTAAAGGAGTTTATATGTCAGCCATGCCGCCACCAGAGTGACATCCAGACCAGCCACCCACTCAAACTAGTACTACGGCATCTACTGATAAGGGTGGAGGAGGATGGAAATGTGGATTTGTCTTGGAAAATGTTTCGAAATGCCCGGCTTGCTTTGACACGTATATGGCTGTAACACAACATCGAATGGCTAAACATGG